GCGCTGCTCTACGCGCTGAAGCATCTGACGGATAGCAAGACGACCATTGGCCAGGAGGATGTCAAGAAGAGCGCTACCAGCCTGATAGTCGCTTCGCTGACCAGCACCAATTCAACGATACGCTGCGCCGCCGGCGAAGCACTCGGCCGTTTGGCCCAGGTCGTTGCCGATTCCCACTTTACGGCCGAGCTGGCACAGAACAGTTTCGACAAGCTGAAGTCGGCCCGGGATGTGGTAACACGCACCGGACACTCGCATGCCCTGGGCTGTTTGCATCGCTATGTGGGCGGCATGAGCAGCTCACAGCATCTTAACACTAGTGTCTCGATATTGCTTGCTCTTGGCCAGGACAGCGCCTCGCCGGTGGTGCAGGTCTGGTCGCTCTATGCGCTGGCCCAGATTGCTGATTCCGGCGGTCCCATGTTCCGCGGCTACGTGGAGGCCACGTTGACGCTCTCGCTGAAGCTACTGCTGAGCGTGCCGCATGCCCATGTGGATGTGCATCAGTGTGTGGGCCGTGTGGTCAACGCACTGATCACCACCGTCGGACCGGAACTGCAAGGCAACAACATAGCCGTTATTGCCATGCGCAGCTCTTTTCTATGCGCTGCGGCACTGCTGCAAGCGCACGCCGATCCTCTGGTGCAAGCCGAGGCCATTGGCTGCCTACAGCAGCTGCATCTGTTTGCCTGCAAATCTCTGCAGCTGGATACACTCGTCCCGACCCTTGTCAAAATGCTGGCCAGTAATTATTTTATTTTACGCAAAGCGGCCGTCGCCTGTCTGCGTCAGCTGGCGCATCGCGAGGCGCGTGAGGTATGCGAATTGGCGCTGGCCATAACGCCGGAGCAGTGTCCGGATTTGGTTATAACGGAGTATGGGCTGCCCGGACTGCTCTATTCCATGCTGGACACGGAAACAGACGCGGAGATGCTTAAGAACATACACGATACGCTGACTTCTATGCTGCAAATGCTGGCAGCCGATAATCTGAGCAACTGGCTCAGTCTCTGCAAGAAGGTGCTGACCGTCGCCGTGGAGACTGGCTCCCCCAGCGAGGAGCAAACTGGAGCACTGGCTGGCGGCTCTGGGGATGCCGGCTGCAAATCCGGCACAGGCGAGTCCACGCAAACCGACGACGATGACGATGAGGAAGAGGAGTATGCCGACGATGTAACCGAATATCGTGCCGAGGAGAACACCTCCACGCATCCGGCCGTCCAGCCGCGTTGGCCCACCCGTGTCTTTGCTGCCCAATGTGTGCGCCGCATCATCGCCAGCTGCGAGGCGGCCAATGCGTTACATTTCGATCTGTTGCAGGCTAAGGAGCAGCAGCTCATCAAGTCGCGCAGCGGCGATTATCTCATTCTGCATCTGGCGGAGCTAATACGCATGTCCTTTATGGCCGCCACTTCGGACTCGGATCAGCTGCGGCTGGAGGGTTTGCGCACGCTGCAAGAGATCATAGATCGATTTGCCAATGTGCCGGAGCCCGAGTTTCCGGGTCATTTGCTGCTCGAACAGTATCAGGCACAGGTGGGCGCTGCCCTACGACCGGCTTTTGCGCCCGACACGCCCTCCCATGTGACTGCCGCCGCCTGTGAGGTGTGCTCCGCCTGGATTGGCTCCGGTGTGGCGCGCGACATTAGCGACTTACGGCGAGTCCATCAGCTGCTGGTCAGCTCGCTGAACAAGCTCTATACGAAGACGAACTGCAGCACTCAGCTGTATAACGAGTCGATGGCAACGCTGGAAAAGCTCAGCATACTCAAGGCCTGGGCGGAGGTCTACATTGTGGCCATGCTGGGCAACGGCAAGGCGCCCGCTTCGCTGCTGACCATTTCGCCAGCGGGCGCGGCCACAGAACTGGTCACCGGCCTTGAATTGGATACGGATAATCGAGGCGAGAGCCTGTTGGGTCTGGTGCAGCCGGAGCTGCATAATCTATCCAATCACTGGCTGGCCGCCATGAAGGATCATGCGCTGCTGCTGCTGCCTGTCGAGTTTCAATCGCAATTGCCCCGCGATGGCGGCTCCTTCTACACCACAGACACCATCAACTCGTCCAAGCCGCACTACATGACCAGCTGGCCGCCCATACTATATGCAGCTGCGCTCTGGCTGCGCGACGAAGGCTTCGCCAAGCATGTGGACACTCAAAGCCAAGTGGAACCGTGCACCACGCAGCCCGAGTCCGCGCACGAGTCGAATAATAATAATAATCACATCACCCATGGCTCGCTTTCGGCAGATCGCTTCCACATGATCTTCGGCATTTGCATGGAGGCGCTGTGCAGCATGCGCAGCTCGGATAAGCCCCGGAACATTGTTAGCTGCCTGCGGGCGCTGCATAGCATCTTTGATTCGGATTGGGCGCGCCGGCAGCTGATCAAGGATCGTGCCTTGACCATTGAGCTATGTCACGTTCTGCATCGCCAGATACTCACACGCGATGAGCTGCTCGTCCAGCTGCTCTGCGTGGAGATACTCAAGCAAACCATACAGGCGGCACGCGAAGATTTAGAAAGAAGACGCGACACCCAACACCAACAACAGTCCGCAGACAATGCCAATGAAAATCAGAATGAAGGCGAAAAACTGGAACTGGACCTGGGCGAGGGTAGCGTCATGCAGCCGGGCAGCTCGCATGTGTATGCCGTGCTGGAGGTCTGTCTGTGTCTCTTCGTGCGTCAAATACCTAGCCTGAATCCCAGCAAGCAGAGCAGCCTACAGCTGGACTATGCGTATGCCCGGAATGCCGCCTCCTTCTTCTCAGTGCTTGGCGATGACAATGGCCGCCTGGTCGCCAGCGGGCTGCAGTGCGTCGAACAGCTGCTGGAGCTGTGCACGCCCAGTGGCGCCCTGACCATACTGCCCACCATACTCTACATGACGACGAGCATTATGCGGGAGATAGCCAACAAGTCGGCCATCGACAGCAGCATACTGGCCAACACCTGTGCCGTGCAGGCGGCACTTAAGTGTCTGCGCTCTGTCTGTGTGCATCGCTGGGCACACCAGGCTGCCACCCAGGAGGATTGGCAGCAGTTGCTCCAAAGCGCTCTGGCCACCATTATTGACATGACCAAGACCGCTGGCGATAATGAGGAGCGCAAGGTGGACGAGGTCACCATGTTGCTGGCGATTGCTGTATTCATACTGCATACGCCCGCCTCCGTGGTAGCGACGCCCTCGCTGCAATATCCGTGCATCAATCACTTCCGGCAGTGCCTGCAATCGGAGCACTTATCTGTGAAACTGAAATGCATCGAGACGACGCGTTCCATTTTCACACAGGCGGACCTAAAGACGGCCACTCCCTACATCCATGCGCTGGCGCCGCGCATCATTGAATCCCTTTATGCCGACTCAAGCAAGACGCCGGCCAGCGAACTGGAGCTACAGGTGACCCTCGAGAGCATTGTGACCGTGGAACAGCTTATTGAGCTAGCAGAGCCGCAACATCGTAAGTGGCAATTATATACAGTTATTCGAAATGTCAGGTCTGTTCCGAATTGGTCTACAAACGGTTTTAGGTTAGGTTGACGGTTCCACTCCAGAAAGTAGGAAGAAAAATCGTTTTAGTAGCCCATTCAAAGCATTTTTGAAAACTATTTACATTTAAGAATGTCGGAGATAAGCTAACAAATTAGGAAAGTTAAGAAGAATGTTTCTTTCCAGATGTTCATAAATAGGTTAAAAATATTCAGCCCAACTAGCTGAAATTCAAAACTGGTTCCTCCGAGTTTCAAAAAACTACAAAATAATTTAAAAAAATATTTATTTAAGCAGGTCATCATCATAAGGTTTCATTTTAAATGTATAGTAATTATATATACATATATTATATGAAATTAACATTGTTCAATATTCGGGACAGACCTGTAAAAAGCGCAACTAGTGCGTTCCTCTATTCAGCTACACACACAGTCCGTTCCCAAATATTGTATAGAGCTACCAAACATGGCGTCGTCAAATAGTACCATTTTTTTATTATTATATTCTGCTCTTTTTCTCTACGTCTCTTCTCTTTCAATTGCTTAACTCATTCATTACACACACATAATTAAAAAAATATATTGTATATCGTTAGGAAACTTGCTACAAGGTAAATAGATGCGCCCATTCACCTGTTTCTTGTTTGCACTCTCGTTGCTTGAGCACCTAAATATGCATTTGTTAAATATATTAAAGCGTTGTAGTTCATAGCTGTAGCTGCCAATTTGCATAATTGCGCTTTAAATGTCGTTGCACACTGCATGCAATTACTGTTGCTGTTATCGATATCGATAACAAACACGCAACAGCGTTTACACACCCTAATACAACGTTAATTGTCTTGTCTGCAAATTTTGAACCTACTTATGTCTGTATTTCTTTGCACATTTCACAGATATACAAATGCTAACGCTACTGGTGCCGGTGCTCATTGGGTACCTGGCCGAGCCAAGCAAGTTGCGCACATTGCCCAAATACCAGCGCCAGCTGCATGAGCAATCCCTTAACTGGCTGCTCAAAATCGGACCCAAATACCCGCAAGAGTTCAAGGCGTTGATGTGCCAAAAGCCGGAGCTGCGCCAGAAACTGGAGGCAGCCATTCGTAACCAGCAGCAGTCAATTAATCTCGCCCAGAAGGCCAGCGAGGCGCAGCGCAGCGGTTTGCTGGCCAAGCCGCAGAAGCCGACGATCAAGCTGAAAACGGACTTTAGCAACTTCCAATAAATAAATAAACACCATCACACACACATGTGTATATATATATTACGTATATATATATATATATATAATGCTGCTAATAGCGTGATTTATTAGAAATTGCTTTTATTGCTATAAACGTAAGAAGTACCTAAAGACCCTAATCTAAAATACGTACGTATATAAATTATAAGGGATACTCCCATACACGATTATCGGTTTTGTTGGGAATGCAACATATTGTTAGTTATTATTATGATATATATACACAAGAACGATATAAGTTATAAAAGCTATTTAAAAAGATGTTAATATTTTTGTCTTATCTAATCGAAATTCAGCTCTTGTTTAACGTTCAGCTCATCTTTAAACACAGTTTTCAAACGCTGCCTCGACAGCTTTATGCCATCCAATTCCTCAATCTGTCTGCGCGCCAATTCCTGAATGCTCACGCCGCTCAAATCTTTGTCTGGCTGCGGCGCCGGCGGCGGTGGCGGCACTGAGCTCTTTGAGCAGCTATAATTTATAATTGGACGCGGCATTGACGTTAATGCCGCTGGCAGCTGCTCAAACGATGGCGGCTCCAGGCGACTGAGAAGCGTTGTGTAATAAAAGAGAGTGCGTAAACGTTGCCGAAACAGCTGCACCGCCGGCTGAGATTCGTCATAGCTGATGGCTGGCTTCAGGTCGGTCGCAATCTTGGCATGATTGCGACAATGCACGGATAGGATGCATATGGCACGAAAGCCCATCATTGTGGACCAGTTAGGTGGCAGCAGCATCAATGGTTGCCCAGCCGATTGACTTGCCTCCAATGCCGGCAATTGACGAAACATTTTGCTATAGCATCGATTCATCTGCTTGGTCAGTGCAATGCTCTGGACGAACAGGACAGCATCCGCTGGTGGCTTAAAGCGCAGCGCATTGGCCACCACAAACAGATTACGTTCGTTGCGTGGCAACGGCATTGGCGCCTGCGGCGCATCCAGTTGCAGATTATAGGAATACTTAAAGTACTCGTAGACGTGTAAATCCATGCCGTGCAATGGCACCAAACAATTGCCATTGACGTTCGAGTCCAGTTTGGGTTTCTTTGGCTTTGGCTTCTGGGTGGGATTGATGAGGAGTGAATCTGGATCCGCTTGCCATTCCTGCAAACGTTGTGCCCAATTCTCGGCGGTTACTTGAGTCTTTTTGTGGGTTTTTCGACGTGGTATGTCAGCCACCGTCGCCTGCGGATTCTGCTCGAGAAACCGCTTGATGACCAGAAAGCGTGTGCGGCAGCTGGTGCGCGTATGATTGCCCAAATGGCTGGCGCACTTAACCCACTGTGAGGTGCCGTGCTCGGTAACGAAGCTCATCAATTTGGTGTCATCCTCCATGGACCAAGGATCCGTTTTATTGCGCTGTGCCAACACGTTGTTATAGCGTGTGCGCAGTTGGGCCAGCGAACGATTGGGAAACAGTGTCCGCGGAAAGCAATTAAATTTGCCATTGTATTCCTCAACGGCTGCGAATAGCATCAGATCCTCACTGGGCGTAAAGGGCGCTGGAAAGGATGTAAATATGAATTGGATGAACTTGCAATTGTGTTTGTGAGCGTACCGTGACTGATGCTGGGATGCAGCACATACATATAGCGTCCAATTAATGTGGATCGTGATCTACCCGGAAAATGTTCAACCACCTGGGACCAGTCGGTCAATCCGTTCACCGTATTCTGTGCGACAACGGCGCGCAAACGTGCATTATCCTCATGCCCCCATCGGAGAGCATTCGTTGGTTCCATATGAAAGCGCAGAGTTGTCTGCATGCGCACAAAGCACTGATAGTCGGAACGTTGATGCACTGCAGCCGCGATGGCTTGCCAGTTTTGCAGTTTATGGGCTTTGGCCGCCGAAAGCAGAGCATTGTCCTCCTCGGTCGTCCATTCGTCGCGTTTAAGCTGTGGCTGCAAGTAAACCAACCACATGGCCTCACAGCTGTATGACGAGTGACGATGCTCTAGATCCAGTGTACTAATCTGATTCCAATCAATGCTGAAGCTGCTATCGGCGGCATCTAACAAACTGGCTACCGTTTGTACGTGTAGATCGATGCCCCTGCGTTTGCGCTCGTGGCTGGACGCGGCTTTTGCTGCCTTGGTCTGGTAATTAGCATGGTCCACCAGCTGTTAGTTGGGGAAATGGGAAATACTTAAACTTTCTGCCAACTCCAAGAAGCGCATTTACTTACCTGCTGCTTAATACCCATGACCACGTTTTTCTTGTCCAGCACCGTCCAGACGTGCTTGGAGCGCATATCGAAATCGGTGGGAAACATTTCGCTGCCGCAACGGCTCTCATAGTCCTCATTGTTGGGACAACTCCGTCCGTCCACATCCCGAAAATATAGATTGCCCTTGAACCGAAACGTTCCGCCGCGCAGAACTGCGCCGCTCTGGCCAACGCTTTCGCCGCCGTTCGCTGAGCGCGGTTTCTGACGGCGTATTAGTATCTGCTCGTTGCGTTTGTAGCGAGCACGTACTAGCTCCAAAAGTTCCAGCATACGTCGGCGCACCTGCTCCAGCTGCCGCTGCAGCTCCTGGTTCAGTCTCAAGGCATTTGTATCGCATGGCTCGGCGCCGGCTGCCAGCAGCGTTTTGATTTCCTGCAGCAGTTGTTGGTGGCTCAGCTTTAAGTTATCGGCATCGCACATTTTGCTGCTGATCAAGCAAAATTATTCATTGACCTCGCATATGCAAAATGCCTTCAAGAATTTTGCAAATGCCTTTTCCACAAAAATAACAAAACGAAACGCGTTTGTCGAAATTTAGGCACTATCCAAGCGATTTATTTACTTATCGCCTTTGGTATCGAAGTAGTTGACTTTTGCAATGTGATTTATCGACAGTTACCGTCATTCTTTAGGCTACGATTGTTTTCCCCCGTTTTAGCAGTATCTTGCAGTTTTATCAAAAGCTAAACTAATTTCATAGTCAATAAATCTCAAGTTTATTATTCAAAATCTCCTTATATTACGGTTCTCCTAACGGAAATAGTCGATAGGCTTGATCAGTGTGCACACATATTTTAAACGGACAATATGTCCCAACAAAGAAGCTTTTATCGATTGCTGCTTGCTGAATATCGTTTTGCAAAAACAAAAGAGAAGTGAGAACAGCAAAATCAACTAAAACACGGATAGTCACAAATAAAAAGTGCGTAGGTTATAATTAATAAAATTCACCGTGTATGCGCATATGTCTAGTGCTGGCCAAATAATATGGATGATGTCCCCGTCAAAATAGTCGAACGATATAAACCACCACCGTTAGTTTACCAATTGCCCCCGACTATTGCGAACCGTTTGGCCCAATATAGACGCAACTACTATGCGGAAGAGCAGGCATATCACTATGACTACCAACTGGAGCGCAGTGTGCTCAGCAAATGCCAGCACTGGCGTCGCATGCGTCATCAGCAGCATCAGGCGCGTCAGATGCGCCAGGAGCAGCGCAAACAGGAACGCCAGCGTGCGGTGGAGGCAAAGCAAAAGGAGATGCTCGGAGCTGTTGAATATCCTAGTGCAGCAGAGTTGTCCTCCGACAGCGACGATGATGAGCAGTTAGCTGTGGAATCGCCAACAACAACAAAGGCAGCAGCAGCAGCAGTAACAGAAACACCATCAATTAACGCCGCTGCGTCACGTGAACAACTCGAACCAAAGTCAATAAACTCGTGCAATTTCCATAATATACTGCAACCCACGATTCTAAGTGGCGCTGCAGCAGCGCCACCAGTGGTTACACACCATAAACGGAACAGTTCACTAAACTATGCAGATTTCGAGTATAATATGAACTCTACACCATTCGATAACATTGAGATGAAAACTATTAACGACTTGGACATACTGGCACAGGTGCTGCACCAGACGCAGTTGACGCAAGCGGCCCAGGCAACAAGTGAGCCGGAGCCGTCGCCGGAGCCAGAGAGGGAGACAGAGAACAAAGAGGAGCAGTCGCAGCAGCCGGCACTGGAGCTGGCTGTTACTACGCTGGCGGAAACCAAAGCGACGCTTAACAGCGTCAACTTTCTAGTACACTGTGATGATGCCCAAGACATTCCAGCCACGTACCCAACACCCCTATATAACACTCCAACTCAGCAGCAGCAGCACGTTTATCCGCACATGGTCTACAATCAGCACTATTATCCTCAGCTTTCCAGCCAGCAGCAGCAGCAGCTTTACCCAAATCATAATTACTTGCAGCATAGCTATGCCCATGGCTATGGCTCGCCCACCCAATTGCCTCCGCTGCCGCCAACTAGTTTTCTGTCAGCGAACACGCAGGACGCTGACGCCAAGTCCCGGAGCGTGCCCGACATACTGCGCGAACTGAAAACGGAGCTGCAACAGGCGGAAAAGCGTCGCACCCGCCTGCACAGCCACAATGAGAACGAATCGCAGACGTTAGCATTGACCCTGCCACAGCAGCATCAGCCGAGCAATGCCAACATATTCCAGGAGCTGGCTGTGCCAGCACAGAAACTGGCGCAGCGCATTAGCAGCATGGGCTTTCCGCTGGAGCGTGTGGCCAAGGTGGTTAGACTGTGTGGCGTCGATGACAAGAAGGTGCGTGAGTACGCTTTGACAATATATATATATTTAGCTATTTGTCTTGACTGATTTATTGATTGACTGTTCCAAAGAAAGTTTTGCCCAGTCCGGGCAAAGTGAACTAATACTTCATTGTATTGCGAAATGCAATTTTCTCTCCATTAGATAATCGAGCATCTCATTCCACTGGGCGAGCTAATGGATCTCGGATTTGAAGAAACGAAAATCTCGGCGGCGCTTTTGAAATTTAATAACAATAAGGACAAAGCGCTGGACTATTTAATTAAGTAGTGCAATTCAATAATGATATGTCGGCCGCCCCGGCGCTCCAAGCTGCTAGAGAGGCGCATATCCAATACAAGCGCCCCACGTTACATGCAACGATATTTCTGTTTATTTCTATAAGTACTTGGAGCTTATTGTGTTTGCATATGCTGAGGTACGCAACTACAAAACATAATGCTAAATCGCTTACATGTACATAAGTATATATAGTATTTATACATATATACATATATATATATATATATGAATATATTTATATGACGACAGCCGCCGCCGCAGCAGCATAATAAATACATGTGCTTAGTGCTAAGCTGCTTCCGCATCGCGTTCAGTTCATGCCCAACATTAGCAGATTAATGGCATGCTCCACATTGCCATCGGCCAGCGTCAAGTAGTTAACGTTTTGGGTGTGATTTATAAAGCCCATGGCTGCCATGGTGCGCAGCTGCTCGGTGAAGCGATGCCGGCGATAGCAACGTGGCAGAACATCGCTATCATCGTCAGCAACCGCATCGTCATCATCATCCTCTGGATCATCCACAACAGCCGCCTCACTGGCCGCTGCACTCGTTACCGTTGACTCCACTTCCATGCTCTCCACAGCTGGCTGTTGCTGCAGCGACTGAAAAGCGCGCGCCAGCTCATTGCGCAACAGCTCCGAAGAGATGGCCGCGGCAGCAGCAGCTCCACCACCTCCAGGGGCAGCTCCACCCAAGCTAGTGGCGGCAGACGACGTGCTGGAGCGTGGTCGCTCATCGCTGAGAGCCTCGTCCACATTGCGCTGCGCTATGTTTGATAGCGAGTTAAAGGAGCTCATGTCGACGCGCGCCAATGCATTGGCCAGCTGCTGGCGACTTATTTGCCGTATATTGGCCAGCTCATCCCGTCTATTGGCAGCCATGTTGGCAGCTGCAGTGCTGCTGCTACCCCCACTGCTGCTGCTGCCGGCGCCTAAAGAGTTCTCCTCCTCCGACGAGGTCGTTGACTCCGAGGCAGCCTGCTCTTGAACTGCAAGCAGAGATCATGAGATCATTGATGAACAAAGGCAAAGCAATTAGGAGTACGCTAGGCTGACGTATTTGCCCACCCAGCTCCAATTTAATCTTCACAACGAATAAGACTTACACTGCGTGGCGGAACTATTGCGTGCCAGTTCCTTGCGTATGGTATCGACTATAAATGAAGCTGCCTCGCATATTATAGGATAGTCCCGCACCAGATTCTGAACCACCTCCGGCTCATGCAGCATATTGAAAAGCACCGAGTCGCGTATCAGAGCCTGTGCGCCCAAATTGCGTCGGAATTCCGGATACTCGGCCAAGATCTTTTGCAATATGTTAAAACGAGACGTGACGCTGATTTGTAGGTGCGAGGTTAACGAAAAGAGCTCCTGTATGTGCTTGGTATTAATGTCACTGGGAGCTGGCGGCTCGTATGGAGTATATCCCTTCATTTTGCGAAAACAATGGACGATTGCATTCGGTTTCATAGTGCTAGAGAGCTTAGAGTCGTCGCTGAGCACCTTGCCCAGATAGCATATATCTGTATAGGTGAGCGCACAATGAGTTGACATTATTTCTATACTACGTATAAACAAATATATGTATATACTATATGAAAATACACACCAAGTTCGTCGGCATCGAACTGCAACTGCAGCTGCTGTGCAATGATCTTTTTCAAGTACGCCACATTCTGTTCCATATCAATGTTGTGGACGGGATAAAAGTCGCTTAGTTTGTTTTTAACATGCACGCCAGCGTATACAGTATTCGTAGTCATGCTGTACTTTTTTGTTTTCTGTCTACTTTGTTTTGAAATTAATTTCCAACTGCGTCTCGTTGTGTCTCGCAAACAAAGTGCGTAGCGATTATCGATTAACGATAGCCATATAGATGATTACCAGGCAGGCCAGTGTTGCTCTATTTATTAAACTTGACAATACCCAAGACGTAATCAACTGATTTCAAAGAAGTTTCAAAATTTGTGTTGTTTTTTTTTTTGTTTGTTTTTTTTTTTTTTTTTTTTTTTGATAATGGGTACTCAAAGCGTCCAAACCCAGACGGATAGATCACATTTAAGAAAGCTTTATTGTAAGTCAAAGGAAAGAACAATGGCTCAGCAAACTTCGGTAATTAAAAAGCCCAACGACGTCCAAAAATTAATTATTCAGTGCTGTGAATTTGAAATATTTGGAATTGTGCAAGGTATGTCATGGCTAACGTAGGTAGATTTGATGTAAGAGAATTAAAAAAAATTTTTATTGCAGACGTTTCGTTTCGACATGTAAGGACTACCTCTTCCTTAAAGAAAACTTCATTTTAAGTGTTGATCATTTATTTAGTATACCTTGCGACGGGCTCAAAAACTCGGAGTTCGTGGATGGTGCATGTATACTGAGAACAGCACAGTTAAAGGATTAATTCAGGGTTACCCAAAAAGCTTCGAGGCTATGTATGTATGTGCTCAAATAAAAAAAAAAAACCAAGGGTCGAATTAAAATTTATTTTTCAGGCGTATTTGGTTGAAATATACTGGCAGTCCCACCAGCCGCATCGATAAATGTGTGTTTGGCCCAATCGAGGAGTTGCAAAATTTTACCTACGATGACTTTACCATACATAAAAGTAAGCCCTGATGCCAATGTCCAATAAATAAAGCCGGCTTATCACACATATGTACAGTGTGACCGTTTGATAGTATAAACCGTCTGATGGTGACACTGTTTCGCTAAACTGCAACGCTGCGTGGTACACAATCAGGTAAAACAAACGGCATTGCAGTGGAAATCATTTCACTCACTGTGGCCCGTGACAAACAATAAAAACAACTGATATAAATAAATTTATTTACCTGAACGAAGAAAAATAAAAAGGCATTTAATTAAGTGTGCGCTGAGGCATTAAATGCAGCACATGTGCGAGCTGGGTTCCAGTTGAAACACGCGCAAGACTTTCACTTTTTTGCAAAGAGACGAATAAAAAATATAGAAAAACAACAACAATTACCAAACGACACTTCGTCTCACGAGAGAGCGCAGCAGCACCTAAGAGGAAAATGAAAATCCGAGCGGACAGACAGAAGCAAAGCTAGACAGACCCACTGGAAACGAAGCGACATAAATATTTTGTTAAAAATAGTAAATAATTGCGTATAAACAAATGAAATGCAGCTGCAGCAGCGATAACAACAATAACAAAACGAATCGCATGGCTGTGTGAGTGAGCGATTGGGCATGTGTGTGCGTGTGTGTGTGTGTAAGTGTATGCAAAGGGAAAAGAAATTAACCAAATAGCTGACTGTCTATTTGTCTGTCTGTCTTCTTTGTCTGTGTTTGTGTGTGTGTGTGTGTGTGTGTGTATGTGTATGTGTGCGTACGTGGAGTACTAATTTGGGTCAATTTGAAATTGTGAGTGAAAACGAAAACTGCGTTGCATTTGCGCGCTAAAAGAGTAAGCAGAATAAGCAACATGGACAGCAGAACACAAACGACACAACAACAACAGCAGCAGCAACAGCAACAAACATCGCGAAGTTCACCGCTCGCTGTTAATCTAGGCGGTCCAAACGCCAACAGCTCCACAGAAGCCAGCGCACCACCAACCACGGACAATAGCGGGGCAGCGGGAGGCAGCAACAGCAAACGCAGTAGCAAAAACAAAAACAATAATGGACATCAGCGCAGCCATAGCATAACTAACGCAGCGGCCACATCGTTTGTTAATCTGTTCGATGGATTCACCTCGCGTGTTTCGACAGCTGTGAGCGTCACCAGCAGCATCAACAGCACCGCCATGGACCGCAGTCACAGTGCAGCTAGCACGCCCAGCTCTACGCATTCCGGCATTGGCGTGGGTGGCGGCATTGGTGCCGGTTCGATAGCTAGTCTTACGAGCATGGGCTCGCTGGGTACCACAGCTAATGCATTTTACTCCTCAATAGGCAGCGCTATCAATTCCCTAACATCGCCCATAACGGCCGCAGCGGCGGCGGCAACAGCCACCACCACGGAGGTGGTGGTAGCCGCTGCATCGGCCATAACAAATCATTTGAGTTCACCTACCGGCGGCAGTACACCGCCGCACTTGCTGGGGAACAATGATGAGGACTGCGATGATAACGATGAGGAGGAGGATGAGGATGATGCTGTCGATAATGATGGGCATATGGCGGCGCCAACACCATCCAAATCATGGGCCGAAATCAAATGTTTTGTGCAGGAGATACGCAAAGAGCTGTCCAATCTGTCCACGATGGTGCCCACCAATGTGCAGTTCCGTCATCTGTCCGATGGCCGTGCCCGCTGCTATTTCTTGAGCACACCTCCGCACACGTGGGAAACAACGCTGCTCTTCGCGGACATCAATTTGCGACAGCACGACGAACAGCAGCTGCACCACCAGCAGCAGCAGCTCGGTGGCGGCGACATTGAAGCAGTCAATGTTGGCAGTCCTACCGGCGGCGTTGCATCACCCACAATTAACCTGCCAACGTTTCATTTTGGTGCACCGCCCAAGCCCAGGTGAGATTAGCCGCTTGTCTAGCTGTCATCAATTAGTAATTTCTTCCTTTGATTTCTTGAAACAACAGGCTGACTTGGCAGTCACTGCTCCAGCAACCCATACCCAGCACTCATGTGAGCGTGACCGCTGTCAGCGGCAATGGCAACGCCTGTCCATATGCCCGGGAGTTTCAGTTGCTGCAGGAACGCAAGCGCTTGCCTACCTGGGGCATTACTTCCTACGAGTTGCACAAGCCCAGCGGCAAGCTGGTCTTTCCCTGCTTTAACGATCTGTATCAGTGCTTGGACACGGGCTACAATGTGAGCTTAGAACATTCTGCCAGCCTGTGCATCAATCAAATTCTAATTAATTTGCATTCTTTTGGCACAGTCTGGTCTGCTATTTCCCACGCAGCTGCGCACGTGCCCCGAGTGGACTGCATTGGATCCGCAAATCTGCCCTCAGAACTCGGATCTGATTGCGCACATCAGTGACTGTGATATCTGGGTAACGCACACGCTAAGCGGCCATGAGAAGCGTTTAACGTACACGAGAAGCGGTCGTCGCACGTTTGCGGATGATGCCCTGAGTGCGGGCGTACCATCGTATGTAATGCAGGAGGAGTTCAGTCGTTACCAGGGCTACTGGTGGCAGCCGCACTCGGATGATGGCATCTATCGCATTGTCTACGAGGAGGTGGATGAAACTGATGTGTCCCTATACACATTCCCCTCATCGACGGCTGTGCCGGGCGAGGTGGATGAGTATCGATTTCCACGTAGCGGCACGCCCAATGCAAAATCCAAGCTAAAGCTTGTACAATTTGTGCTCAACGAGGCGTTGCTGATTAGCGAGATTAGCATCAAGGATTTACCCTATTCTTTGTCGGCTGTATTCCCCTGGCTGGAGTACATTGTACGCGTCGGCTGGACACCGGACGCCAACTAGTAAGCTCCCAAATTTAGTTTTCACTTTCCATGCTTAAATACTCCCTTTTTCAATTCTCAGTGTTTGGCTGCAGGGCCTCAACCGCAAGCAGCAGCGTTTGGACGTCATGCTCATCCCGCTGGACAACTTTTGCGAGTCGTACAGCAGTCAGGTGTCCACGCCCACAGATTCTATTGGGGATCATAGCTGGCGTAGCCCATATAATCGCACAATAACCCCGCTGCAAGTTATCTATACGGAGCAATCGGAAAGCTGGATTAATGTGCATGATATGCTATATTTTCTGGAGCTAAACGATATGACTGTCACCTATCTCTGGGCCTCAGAAGAGACGGGCTTCAGGCATTTATATCTAGTCACGTCCAGTTTGCTGCTGACTCATGTCAATGGCTGTCAAACGGATGCGGTTGCCGCACTGGCAGCTGCTCAACATCCCAGTTTTGTAGAGGCGGCAGCACTTCAGCCGCGCATTGTGAACAAGGTGGCGCTGACGAGCGGTGAGTGGGAGGTGCTGGCACGCAATCTGTGGGTGGACAAGGCCAATCAACTGGTCTACTTTGTGGGACTGCGCGATACGCCTCTGGAGAAGCATCTCTATGTGGTCAGTCTGCAGCGACCCGAGCACATACGCCTGCTAACCGAGCCAGGCTATTCCTATTTGGTGGAGTTTGATGATGTAAGTAATAGAATCTGCTCGGTTTTCAAAACTTGCATAGGATAAGTAATCTCGTATGATATATTTGAAAGGAAGAATCGGCTTCAGGCTGGTTAGGCTAGTTTATAGCTGCCCGTATTTCACAAAGAATTTCACTTTATTGCAGCAATGTCAACTGATGCTGCTCGTCTATTGCAATATTCAACGCCTGCCCAGCTGCAAGGTGATGCGTGTAACGCAAACCTGTCAGAATGGCGGCGTCAATGGCATACAGATCTCGTTGGTTGGGTTTCTGCATGAGGGCGGCAAACCGGAGCCTCAATATTGCCCGCAAATCTTTCGGCCACAGCTGCCAACGGGTGAAGTAGTCTATGCCATGGTCTTTAAGCCACACAACTTCCAGCTGGGCGTCAAGTATCCAACGGTGCTTAATGTTTACGGCGGACCCGAGGTGCAAACCGTGAACAATACCTTCAAGGTAAGTGCTGTGCCTTTTAGCTCATCCCATAAAAACTAAACTTGTTTTTTTCTATAACTAAACAGGGCAAACATCAGCTGCGCATGCACATGCTGGCTGCTCAGGGCTATTGTGTGATCTGCATTGATTCGCGCGGCAGCAGGCATCGGGGCATACAGTTCGAGAGTCACATACGCGGTCGCATGGGTCAGGTAGAGCTGACCGATCAGGTGGATGCGCTGCGCATACTCTCCGATCAGCTGGGCTATATTGATATGGAACGCGTTGCCATACATGGCTGGTCCTATGGTGCGTCCCTTTTTTATACCCTGAACCGATTAAAAATGGGTACAAGGGTATATTGTATTTTGTAACAGGCAGAAGGAAGCATCTCCGACCCCATAAAATATATATATATTCTTGATCAGCATCAATAGCCGAGTCGATCTAGCCACGTCCGTCTGTCTGTCTGTCCGTCTGTCCGTATGTATGATCGCAAGGATCTCAGAACCCGTAGAGCTAGAGAGTTGAAATTTCAGATGTACATAGGTGCTCCTAGTGCCTGCGCAGATCGAGTTTGTTTCCGATAATCGATAACTTACTCCGTTTCCAAGCAATCGATAAAAATCGATATCGATATCCTGTTTTTTGGGCAATTTTGGTAAATAATAAGAGCTAGAGTCACCAAACTTGACATATATCTTCTAAAATAGAATATATATATGCATTTGATGTTGGAAGAAGAGGCTTCAGGGTATCCACTAGTTGGGAGCTCCCAACTAGAACCTCTTACTTGTTTTTTTTTTTAATACATTTATAAAACTCCTCGTCCTGACTGACTGACTGGCGATCAACGTACAGTCTAAACCGTAAGAGATAGAAAGATAGATGCAATGGATTCCCGCATGTGTGTAAAAAATTCGCGGAAAACGACAGTAAAATATTATTTGCTTACAACTCGATTAGCTTAAAACTCATTTGTAAGGATCTTTGCGCAATTTCGTTTAAGGCGTAAGTTACACAATACGCAATATGTAGTCCTTCTTGGTGGAAATGGCAGTCAGACGTTTCGTAAATTCGCGAGCTTGTACCAAATATTATTTTTCGGTGTCAAGTCACAACAAACTAAAATAGGCGAAAAACTTTTAATTTTTATTTCCTAATTTGGTGGGCCTCGAACTCAACTATCTGGTTTAAATGTAACGGGAGTCGTGGAGTTCAGTTGGTATAGTTAGGGTAATGCCCGTTGCTATTATATCAATTCCTAAATGCTATTTTCCTGCAGGTGGCTATTTGAGCTTGATGGGGTTGGTGCAGTTTCCGGAAATATTCAAGGTGGCCATTGCGGGCGCACCCGTGACAAATTGGGAATACTATGATACGGGTTATACGGAACGTTATATGGATCTGCCCAAGTCTAATGAGGCGGGCTACTCGGCTGGTTCGGTGCTCAACTATGTGCATGCGTTTCCCGATGAGTGAGTGTGGCAAATTAATTGTAATCAATATGCGTAATTAATCAACCCTTCGCTTTCCCTAGGGATAATCGATTGCTGCTCATTCA